CACGTAAATTTAGTAGCGACTTTATACTAGTCGATTTGGTAATGGTTGCGTACCTTACGGGAGGTGCTTCATATGGCACTCATATTTATCACGTATATTGAGGAATTGGAAATGTGGAAAGAATGATCAAAATTTGCTCTAAATAGTATGCAAAATGTAATGTAAAAATCTAAGTTACTTTTAGATACATTTGTTGCATCAATAGAATAAAAAATTCACGTTATTGTACGATGTAAAGAGTTTGACCAGGTTTCGATCCCTTTTCCATGGGATTTTGTGAAACTTTGAATATTTTAAGAAATTATATATCGATTTGTGAAGCTTAAGACGAGTATCGTCCTAATCAATAAAGACATGTATAATCTTTTGAACCGTTTATATCTCAAACGATTACGAGAATAATATTGAGACTATTCTTAATGTACTAAATATAAACTTCAAATTGGTGCATCATCAATTAGAATATTTAAAGTTTTTGAAAAAGAGGTAAAAAAAATACTCGTATATAGATGCTTGATTGAATTCATTAATGATTAATTCGATACTGTGTACTTATCTCATAAACGTAATTAAAGGAAATTGTGAAGTTTCCATCCGATCGATTGTTTCACGTCGTGATAATCATGAAAGTTTATCTGGCTGAAAACTGAAAGGTGAATTTACTTCAGCTAAAATTTCACTCTAAGACATTTATAGAGCACTCTCCAAACTTTTGGAGTGAAATCGTATTTAAAACGAAACAATAGAGTGAAAATACTGCTACTTGAAGTCACAAGAGTGACTGCTTTTATTCAAGCTTAGAGCAGATTCTGACTTCTGACTTTCAACGAATATCTCAATCGATTAGAAATTTTAGAATATGGGTTATCGATCAGAGTATATATGTTCTTGCGACGGTAGAGTATAGTTAGATAATTAAAGGTTGCTATCTGAGAAGATAAACAAATATACGTGAATTTGACAGCAACTTTATTAGTCGATTTGTAAAGATTGCGTCTTTTATGAGTGGTTCGTGCGGCATTCATATTTTTATCACACAGAATGATGAAATACGAAAAAATGATCACAATTTAATTAGAATAATATATATGTTATATAAAATGTAATATGAAAATATTGTAATTTTTAATAAATTTGTAGCTACATTAATACGAAAAAATTTACATACTATATAATATAAATTTAATGATTATAATTTAATAAACTGTATATATCTTATAAATGTAATTTAAAAAATTATAGAGTTTTCCTCATGATTGTCTCATATCATGATAATCATGAAAGTCTATCTGGGAAGCTTTAAGGGGTGGTTCTGGTTTAGAAACATAGGAAGTAATTACGAATTAAAAAAAACTAATGAAAAGATAGGATTTTGATTATAACATCATTTTAAATCTAAAAAATTATTTAAAATAGAATGAAATTATTTGTGGTGAGGGTTTTTCTATAGCGTGCGTGACGCCTTTGGACGCTTCTAACTGGCAGACATTACCATTTGTGTAATATTTTAAAATAAATGGGACAAGAAAGTTTAAAAATTATATTAAATGAACCGGAGAATGAAACTAAATCCTTTGGAAAAATTAGCAAAATTAATATTTCCCTGGGATATTAAATAGAAAAGAAAAAAAGGAAAAAATCGTAAATTCGAACAGCCGTTATTTTATTAAAATACGACTTTTCTTGTATATGTATAACAAAGGTTTACTCTCTAATAAATTTAATGCAGTTTTAACATTTTTCCGTTTCCATTTGTTTCAAATTATTAGACAAGTTGTAATTTTGTTCGCCAGTTCGCCAGTGCACATGGCACCGCGAAATACAAAAGAACCAGAACGGAATTTCAATATTTTAAAAATAATTTTGAACCAAACTTCAACTCACTTTGCTACAAATAGTGATAAGTGGCATAATCAAAAACCTATATTGATCTTTATTCATTTATTTGACAAAATTCTATAGAAACTTCCTATTTCTTAGCTATTTCTAAACCAGAATCTCATCTCTCTTTAATTATCGAATATTGGATAGGTCACACTTATAACCGACAGATATACACTTCGTCTTACCTTTATAGAACCTATATTTTAAACATTCAGCGTAATTTATATTTGAATACAGAAGAGAGATGTTTTACATATGCGGAGAAGGTAATTATATTAAATAAGCAAATTTAAACGCAGTCTCCCATTAAGTTTTCTTATCAATAACTCAAAACTTCGAATTTTTTATTTCGTACTTTCGATGATTAATTCTGATGATTAATACTGGAAAATTCTAATTATTATTCTTATCAGTCGACAGTAGCGAAGTCAGCTAACGAAACATAATATTTGTATCATTCCGATATTCCCTAAAGGTCATAAAGTATATATCTCTTTCTCTCTCTCTCTCTCTCTCTCTCTCTCTCTCTCTCTCTCTCTCTATCTCTCTCGCGATGGTATGATGGTCCGTTGAAAACGCACACGCGAAAACGCGAATCGAACGAACGCCATGTACTTTTTAAACTAATCTTTGCGCGCGTTCATATGTTGGGAATGTACGGTTCGGCTAGATATATGGGCGATGCCCTGTTTATTAATTATTACGCGAACCGGAACCCACGGCGAGCGAGCCATCAGGAGTCACATGTGGTTGGACGTAATTGAAGAGCTCAGAGCAGCGGAAAAGCATATCCCATTTTAACCATTCCGCTACCTACGACCAATAAAACTCGTTTGGAGCAGTCTCTTTCGAGACTTTAATATTTTAACCGAGTGACGTTAAAGCTAAAGAAGCGATCGCCATCGAGATCTCTCTGTAACACGTATGAAATATTCTCAAAATTTCTCATTCAAAATAAGTGAGAAAGAGTGAAAGTTTTCACTCAACTTAAAGGACTCTTTCTGACTCCGTGTGAATAAATGTGCTAATCGCATACAGTGAATATATCCTTACGACGATAGAATACAGTCTGATGATTAAAGATTACAATTGCACTTTTCCTCGATGTGCTTTGCAATGCATTTTGCATCCAATAGAAAAGTGTGTTTTCTAAGAAATAACTGAAAAACAAATTTTCTTCTTGGATATAAAATGTGTTACTAAACTTACCCAGCAAACATTTATTGCAACTTTTAATCTGACTGTACATCAAATTTATCCTTCAATCTCTAGTAAAAATATTCTCACGATGATTCAGGATAGGGAATTCACTCTATATAAGAGAAAAATCATTGAAACTTGAATAATTTGATGGTCACTCTACTTTTAGAGTGAAACTTCACTCCAGAAAATTCAGATAGATTTTCTGTAGATCAGAACTAGTTGGCAAAACCGATTATTTTTAGTATTTTTTAACAAGTTAAAAAATTAAGCAGACAAAATTTTTAAACATATCAAAGATAGCTTCCTCGTTTGCTTGATTCTAAAATCTATTAAAGAACAGTAGAAATAATCAATTTTGCCAACTTTGACCCCGATAGCCAAATAGCCCCGGCTTCTCCTATCATTCATAAGAAAAATCAAAATGCCGAAAAAGCGTTTCGAGATGGCGATCTCGTTACACTTCTCTCGACGAAAATGAAGAGGACTCGACTCCTCCTTCCCTCTGTAGCGCGGTAAGTTTTTTTTTTCAAATGAGCGCGCGTTCATGCTACAAAAATTTTACGATTTCCTCGAGATCTGTCCAGGCAATGCTTCAACTTGGTTAATTCTACTCTGCACAAATCTTTTTCGTAACTTTAAGGGAATGTAACTCGTTTGTCTTTCCTCCTCCTCTCTGGTTCTCTATTCGTAAAGAAAATCACACGCACGTAAAACTTTAATTTTTTTTTATCACAGACTTTTATGCGCGGGACGAAAGCAACTGCGAATTCGCGAGAGTTTTCTCATCGGCGAGGAGTTCGAAATCACCCGAGAACCAGTCCGCGCGTCGATTTAGCCGATTTGAAGAAGGGGAGAAGAAAATATCTCCGTGACGTCCATTTCCAGCATCGATTATCCGGGCGTTCACGCGCTCGTCGTTCTCGGAGGCCACGAATAAGTACTTATCACTCCCGCGGAAAGGGTGAAACTCTGCGGAAGGAGTTCCCGCCGCGCGATATGGAGCGTGAAATTTTGAAGAACGGGACGTTTGACCGCGCGGCGTGTGTTTCAGCGGGTCTAAGTCCCGTGGTCGTAAATCTCGCCGGAAAACCTCTCGCATGTACCGCGACACCGCCTCCTCTCTCCGTCGGCATGGCCGTAGCGCGACCCCGATGTCACATCATGCGTAATAAGCGGCGGCTCATTCGCGGGAACAACAGGAAGCTCCGCGACAGTCTTCCTGATTGGCGCTGAAACGCGACTTCAGGACGAGGAACGTCACGAGAGCGAACGGAGCGGGAAGAAATAGCCGTGACGTCACAGGACGCAAAGAGGGACAGTAACTTAAACATTCTTCGCGAACTGGAAAGAGTCGCGCAAAACTCTCCTGTGAGTTACCTAATGGCCGGACGAGGAGAGGAGAGGAGAACAGTGGCAGGGTGAGAGGCGGGTTGAGGAGCGAGGTAAAAGCAGGACATGGCTTTGCGGGTGCAAAGCGACAACACAGTTGTCCGATTTCTGCGACCCATTTCCGTTCGCGGCCGCCGTGTGAATAAAGGTGTTTATTTTTCGCGGAGCTTTCGGTGACGTTTTCTTTAGCCCTCTCGCTTCCTCCCTCTCTCTCTCTCTCTCTCTCTCTCTCTCTCTCTTTCTCTCTGCCTCTTTCAACCCAGCTCTGTACGTCGTCGTGGCGGCGTTTCGCATTGGCCCGTTCCTCGTGTGCGGTTGGCACTTGTGCATTCGAGTAGACACGTCATTCGAGTCGCGAGATCGAGCGCGCGGCTAACTCCTTTTGCCCTTTCGCCACCCTCGCGAACCATGACCGCGATTCTCCAACTTTCCAAGTCGATAGCGGGCGAAGGATCACGAGTACCGGCTTTCAAAGCTCGGTCGCATACGTCGGAGCAATGAAGGTGAACACGGAAGCATCTTACCTGATCTACAGCGTCGTTGGTGAGATCGTGGCCGGCGACGTTGTCGATCTCCGAGACGTCCTCTGTGATCGAGTGATCGCCGACCGTGCTGTTGTCGCTCACGACGAGGCCCAGCAGGCATATCTGTAAGCAGAACGCGACGTCGCTCGTAAATAGACTGGAGTTATTAGGGGTTCCGCGTTGGGGTGGTAGAATCTATTAAACATACAGCGCCGCTGGTCACATTCAACGAGAAATAGCGCGGCGCACCACGTGGCGATTTGTCCCGCCCGTTAAGATACAGCGCGCCTCGGCCCTTACGATAGATAACAATGGGATGTTGTGACCCCGTGGAAAATTAATGCCGAGGTTCGCCGACGAAGGGACGGCCCAGGCGACCCCTCGGCTTCGGCTGACGTAATGGCTGCGAGTGGCGTGCGAGGTCGGAAAGTCGAGTTTTACCCCTGAACGTCAACGTTGTTTTTCCACGGTTGTTTACGACCGCACGCGATGTACATACCAGGAAAATGGAAGGGAAACACCGCGGTACCGCGTTAACTTGCTGTTAACGTTAACTCAATTTAAATTCGAGTGTAAAGCGTGTCTTTAAAACCGTTGGAAAACGAAAGTGTTGTTGAGAACTTCGCATCTCTCTTTCTGCGACAGTACAGTCATAAAAAGGAAATGAGTACCGTTTTAGAGTTGTAGATAGGCGTGCATATTAACAATTATAGCCTGAAAGTCGTCTCAATTGAGATACTCAGGTTTGAATTTAGAATTAGATGAAAGTTTCTCGGTTGAATCGCGATTACATATATAAAGGTCACATATATCATTCAACTGAAAATTACATGAGGAACGCTTTTACTTAAAACGACTGATCTCAGAAATGATTTTCATCAAATTTCAGAAGCAAGGTCTTAACTCACAAAAGGATACTGAATATTTGGGCACCAGCTACTGCGGCTTGTTATGAAAATAAACTTTGTTTTGGTTTCTTTCTCTTCCACAAGTCGTTTCCGCAATGTTAATGCTAGGTATATAAATCTGTAATTATTTGTATTTCGAAGACGTGACGATGTTATCGTTGACAGGATCGGTTTACTTTTAGCTGAACTCAACAAAGGTATTTTATATTGTCAGATTTAATTATTTATTATATTTCAACTTTACTTATTTTTATTTTATTTTATATGTTTTTTATAGTTAGGACGGCTACTTCTCAATATTAATTTATTACTTAATATTATTTCGGTAACGGTCTTGTCGGATTTAATATTGCGACGAACATTCATGTCAATTTGCGCTGGTCTTTTACTAATTGTAATGCGTTCGTGTCGTAAACCTTGAGTTTTATTATCACTGAAGAGGGTTCATGGTTGAGCCAAAACGTATGATTGTTTTATATTGATTATTCATGTTCAATAAATATTATACGATTTCCAATTATCAATAAATATTTACGATTTAACACAAGGAAGGTTTTTAGCCATATGATATATAGCACTATTAGTCCTGTGCTTGAACTCAAATTGCCCTTTTTCCTATTTTTTGGTCAACTGAAAAACTTGGATCTGATTCACATAGTTTTATATTGCATTCAAATAAATATTTCAAATATCTCATATATAAGTTTATATATCCGTAAAAATTTATCAAGTCTTTATCATAATTTACTCAAAATTATGAATTCTAGTAAGTTTAGCATTTTAACCAAGAATACTAAATATTAAATTAAAACAAAAATTCGGTTTGCTTATTATATAGAGCCTACTTTTTCTTCGATAAAATTTTATAATATACTTTCATAAAAATAATAAATTCTTTTTATGAGTGTATGACAATAAACTTTTCTAAAATTTTTGTATTTTTACGAGTATAATTTAAGACTATATTTTAATTTTATAATATACTTTCATAAAAATAATAAATTCTTTTTATGAGTGTATGACAATAAACTTTTCTAAAATTTTTGTATTTTTACGAGTATAATTTAAGACTATATTAAGACTATATTATCAAGAATAGTCTTGATAAATAGGAGTTACATCATACTCTTTGTTAAAGATAATCGTTATTAAAAAGAAGGAAAGTAAATTGAGTAATCACTTTTCTTAGCAGAGAAGAATGACATGTTTCTCTGTGTCCATAGGACAAGTTTCAAGTAACGACTACTAATACGGGCCTAAGACTCGTATTAATAATTGTTAGTTGGAATTTGTCTCAATCGAGATACTCATATTTGACTTTAAAGTTAGATGGGAGCTTTTCAGAGAAGTCGCAATTGTAAATATAATGTCATGTGAATACAATGTCATGTATCACGTAAGTCAACTGAAGAGCCCAGATCTAATTCTAAACTCAAATCTGAGCATCTTACACGATGCAAGTTTCAAGTAACGACTCTTAATACGAGCCTAAGATGAATAATGTGTTTAAAAAGTGAAAACAAAACCGAAGGAGGATGGCATCTGTGTGTAGAGGTATTGCGGCGCTGTTCCGATTTGCTTATCGGGTTGTCGCATAATTAGTCCGTCTCGTGCGAGGGTCTGAGACGAGCTCCTAAACAGAATCGCCAGAAAGCGGAATCGATCGTAATCCGAGCGAGGTAGCCAACATGCGCTTCCGACCAGACTGAGCGGTCACGTAACACAACACGATATACTACTAAAGATGTGCGAATCAAAGATTTTTTATGTCGAATCGAATCGAAACGAATTTCAGATTTTAATTTCGAATTCGAATCGAATCGAATCGATGAAATTTCACCCAAATCGAATCGAATGAAATTGAATCGTTGAAAGAATTTTTAATTAACATAATCATTGAATTTCATCAAAATAGTGACTTCAGTATAAGAGAGATAATATTGATCATGTGATAATAATTCATTTTTAAAGTAAGAGATATAATATATAGTCAGTAAACATGTATGGAATACAGTTTCAGCCTTGAAAGCTGTGCAACGACACATATCGATCCGACAGTTGTCGATAAGAGCTTATCTAAAAGCCATCATCTTCTTTTAATATTCTTGAAAAAAATCTTAATGTATGAAAATGTAAACTTTTCAAGTCATGCTAATTCCTGTAAGGCTGGATGTCTTTAACTTCGTTAATGCTAATGCGTGCGATTCGTATTCGAAAATTTTCGAATTACTCGGATTCGAAATTGAATCGAATTGAATTTTACTTGATTCGATTCGAATAGTTCGCACATCTCTATACACGCACACTAACGGCGGATATTGGCAGATATTCCGACATTAGTCGTCGAACTCGTATGTCGTTTGACTATCTGTGCATTTGCACGGAAGTTAACTCAGCACGAGAGAGACAGAAGCGGCGAGAAAGGCGGGCGGGAAAGGATGACGCTCTCGGAGGACGCGCTATCCGTTTCCGAATCGCGGCGAATCGCGGCGAGGAGGAACGGCAAAGTGAATCCGCACGGTCGTCGCCGAGACAAAAGAGTGCGCAAGAAGGAGCAATTTAATTGTGGCCGCAGTTTCGTTCGCGAAAACGGATACCCACTCTCCGGTATTACGCTACGCGAGGAGGAACTTTTATAACAAGCTACCGTTCGCCCGCTCGCTCGCGTCCCAACGACTGCCCTTTCTCAGCGCACGTAGCGCTCGTTCCGGCGAAATTTCCCAACCGGAGGGATTCATATTTTACGACCGTCTCCGGCCGCCGCATAATACATTTTTGTTGAAACAATCGGCTGTCCGCCGCGGAAGCATTAGTCACGAGCGCGGCCAGTACGTGTAACGATTCAATCTCGACGAGGGGGATCACGATGTCAGCGCGCGACCTGCACGCTCGGGAAGGAATGAAAAGGTGCGAAAATGTGTGTGTATATGTATGTATGTAATGAATAATACTGATTGCACGTCCGAAATCGCTTGCAACGCGCGCAGTCGTAAAATATTAGGTTGTTGCGAGATATTTGTCATTTTTTTACTAAATTCCCGTAGGAAGTTTGAAGGAAATCTCACTTGAGAGACGAGTTTCAAATAATAGCTATTTAAACGGTCCGTCCCCTGTCGAAATTTTGATCTTACTCTTTCAGCCTTACTATTGCATTCAACATCTGTTTTGATACTCTGGAATCTGTATCAACTTCTTTTGATTCTATTTTATTTGAATTAAAATTTTGATCCTATGTTCAGTCTTACTATTCTATTCAACACTTATTTTGATATTCTGCAGACTATATAATATATATATATATAATATATAATACAAGCTATTTTGACGCTAAACAGAGTGTAAAGGAAAATTTCAGACATCATCAGAGTCAAAGTAGAAGTAAGTTGCATCATTAGAATTAAACCTATTAACTTAGCTAACTTAGCTCTTACTGCGTTGTAGAATTCAAGGTTTAATATAGGGCTAAAATTTCGATTCGGATATACTTATACTAATAACTATCGCCTGAAATTTATTTCATGCAAGATACTCAGATTTTTATTCAGAGTCAGATCCAAATTTTTTCAGTTGAATAATATATATGATATTTATATTTATAATCGCGATTCAATCGGAAAACTCTTATCTAATTTTGACTTCAAATCTGAGTATCTCAATTGAGAAGAAATAGAAGGTGTCTCTCTCTTTCTCTTTCTCTCTCTCTCTCTTTCTGTCTCCCTCTCTCTCTCTTTCTCTCTCTTACAATTAGGAGAAAAATAGAAAATCTTTGTTAGATATCTAAGGAAAAACCGACTTACAATATTGACCATTTTATTCGTAACAGTTATTAATTTTTCGGGAGATTGGATAATTTCGTTTTCTATTTTATTTGACAAGCACACAATAAAATTTTTGACACACCAATCTAATACCATCGCAACAGACTGCGAACTTTTTCATCTTTCGACATTGTCTTTTAAACGTTTAAAGTTGGAAGGTAAAGATAATATCGTCGGAATCGAAGAACACGAGAAGAATGTAGGTATCCAAATTAAAAATAGGATGATCGATATATTATTCTGAAAAAATTCTTTTTTTCTTTTAAGAGGATGTTAAATTTCTGACGTTTTTACTTAATTACACAGAATTGTAAATGTTTTTACAGAGTAAAAGTATAAATGTCAATGCATCGAAGGATATCTTATATTATATAAAAAATAACGAATAAAAATTATTTATAACAACGAATCCTCTCAATTGAAATTAATCATTGTTCAGGACAATTCAAGATAGATCGAAACGCACGCTTGGCTATCACAAGAATTAAATTCAATTTGTATTGGTCGTGATTAAAAATTTGAGAACCCTCAACGTGTTGTCTGCTGTCATGCTCACTGATGAGCAGCGTTAAAATATTGCCACATCTCACTCATTTACATATAAAATGTAACCAACAGCGTATAATAAATTAAATATGTAGCAGATAGGTAGCCAATGAAACGAGCTAACGAATACACGCATCGCGGATTGCATTTATTCACCGCATGGTGATTCAGAGTTGAATTGAGCATTGAAATAATCGACGAAAATCAGCGTGGCGGTCAATGTATTATTAATTATTGATTAAGAAATAAAAGATTTTTTTCGGTGTATTTCAATTAAGTGTAAGAATATTTCTTAAACAGCGTAAGAATATTTTCAAGCTTCTTGTAACTTCTCCTGAGAAATATTCTTATTATTAATTAATAATAAAGATATATAAATATTATTATTATTATATTAATATAATTAAATTATAATTAATAATATATATTCATTATAATTAATAATATAAATTACATATAATTATTATAATTAATATAAAATAATTAAATAAAATATTACTCTTAATTATATATATTTAGTTTAGATTTACGAGAAAAATCTTTTCTCTCTCTATTAAAAACAAATGTTAAAAATTAATTTTTATTTTTCGGTGGTAAAATTTTTCTTTTGAACTTCACATTGATCCATAACAATTCGAGTCAAACTTTTAATCCTACTTTTGATCTTAATATTCCATTTTCTCACTTCCATATTCTTAAGCTTAAATCAATCTCTTTTGACTTTATTTAACTCACAGCCGAGAAGACTTCAGAACTTACAAATAGAATTTTATACTATTTAGAGATGTTAAATATAACTTTAGTTTCCCCTAGTCGAAATTTTGACCTTATTT